AGAACACCGTTTAAAACAGAGTAGAAAAGTGCAAGGTTTCTAAAAAATAATGAATAGAGCATAATATAAAGGCTACAACGATCTGGCCTCTGGCAGAGGAACACAACCGGGGGTTGCCTGATATGAGGAGACGTAATCCCCGAAACAGAGCTTCGCACTTAGAAATATCTGCTAAATGTGTTACTTATCTTTGTCAACCTGGCAACCCTGTGTACGCGCGCACTCTCCACTGTGGATAAACGCGCTTGCTTTCTGAAAACACTGGTTAGCTTGCAGTTTAGCGATCTCCACTTTAATATTCTATTATCAGAAAAGTGTGATTTATCAAGTGTTCATTTATATGAGAGAGAGAGAGAGAGAGAGAGAGAGGCTATGTATGAATTACCACCGTTTTGCCGCGTTTCTCTATTAACAGTGAAGCTGTGGCTTTAATTCCTTTAGAAACAATGATGTTAATAGCTCCTTGTTGAGAAAGATAATGTAGCTCTTCAGTGATTAAGCTATTTTATTGATAAAATTGCGGGGCAGCACTAAAAAGTTTGTCTAAAGAATGTCTGTGTGCGCAGCGTGATCTGACTAATCGTGTGTGCGTGAGATACAGTGAAGACAGCGCGTTAGTTTAGAACTCTTCCCATTTTTATTTTTTAAACGTAGAGAGTGTGTTGATTTGTGCAATGATAACCTACCAGCAATGTTAAGATAATTTTTATATATTAGACTGAGTACATTACAATATCAATTTATTAGAACGAGTACATTATTATATATGGGCTTAAAAACAAAATGCAAACAATCAGAATATTGTACCTGGTGGGGAGTGCACAATGTAAACATGAAACATATGTCATAACCTACAAGCTATTGCACTGTGGTGCAGTTCTGGAGGCTCTTCATAATGCAGAGGTCAGCTGCTGCTCTGCCAGTAGTTAGAAATGGCACTATAGTAAGCAGTGTTTAATAAACAGCTGTTTTACTCAATTCTGATGAGGTGAAATTCAGTGCAGTCAAGTATCGTGATACGTATCGTATCATGGCCTCTGTATCGTGATACGTATTGAATCGTGACTTTGCTGGTGATACACAGCCCTAATATATATATATATATATATATATATATATATATATTTATTTATTTTTTTTTACAGAAATACACTGTCCAAAAATTATCTTGTTTTGAGAATGTATCAAGAAATGTAAGATGTTTAGACATTTGTTTTGAAAAACATACTGAGGAAGATATTCATTTTTGGCAGCGCATGCAACATTTAATGGCATGACTTTATGAATTTAAGATTTCTGCTCTGATTAAAGATCTTCGCAGGCCTTAATTTGTGGAAGGATGAATTGAGACTTTTAAAGATCCACAGAAACCCTGTAAAAATGATCAAAATCTGCTTTTTACCATAATATGCACTGATGACTACGATGATGATACAGGAGGTGTGATAGAAAGACAAATGATAAAAAAAAAACATGGCTCAAACTCATATATAGTGCAACATTTTTTTATTTTTGTCGTATAACAAATGACATTAAAATAAGACTAAATAACAGAAAACGTCACACAAAACCCTCTAACATACATTACTATTTACAATAATTAAAAAGAAACAAAATATATTCACATGTAATGTGTTACACAGGGACTTGTGGGAAAGACATTTTACTGTTTATCCATAAATTTGACAGTATTTTACAGTAAAATTAACTATTGCGATGTTAGACCCTTTACGTTTTTTTTACTGTATGGTAAGGAAACTCTCAGTTAAGCATTTTTACTTTTTTTCAGTAAAAGTCAAACATTTCTTTACAGTGATTGTTCCTGTAGTAAGTCTTACTGTATGCAGCTTTGAGTAAATGTCTGACAAATAACCAAAAGCACAAACGCTCAAACTCAGGGTGAATTTAAAAATAAGCTGAGTTCAGCATAACGTGTTCAGAAGATTAAACCATGACTTACAGCTCAAAGGTGTTTGTGTGTGCGTGCGTGTCTGCGTGTGTTTGTGGAGGAACATTTTATTTCCTGCAGGTGTATTTTACAAGCTATTATTTTCTAAAACTAAAAGACAGTTTGATGAAACACCTGCATCTAATTTGTAGGCGTTTAATTTTAATGCTACATTAAAAATCAATTTAATTTTAATGCTACAAATAAATACTTTAATTCTACAAGGATGCATTAAACTGACCAAAAGTGACAGTAACGACAAAATTACCAAAAATGTATCAAGGTCTCCACAAAATTATGAAGCAGCACAACTGTTTTCAACATTGATAATAATCAGAAATGTTTCTTAAGCAGCTAATCAATATATTAGAATGATTTCTGAAGATCATGTGACACTGAAGACTGGAGTAATGATGCTGAAAATACAGCTGCGCATCACAGAAATCAATTCAATTTTAACATATATTACAATAGAAAACAGTTATTTTAAACTATAATAATATTTCACATTATTACCGTTTTTACTGTATTTTTGATCAAATAAATGCAGTCTTGGTGAGCAGAAGAGACGTCTTTCAAAAACAATAAAAAGACTGCAAAGTTTTTAAAGGTAATTTATGTTAAAACGGATGAAGTGACAACTGCTGTCAGTGTCCTTAATGTTAATCCAAAAAAAACTAAAAAGAAAGAAAAAATTATCACTCACTGCTATTAGCTGAATAACTTCTGTAGCTTTAACAATTATTAATCTATATCTAATTTACACAGTGAAGAAAATGCAACGTTGTACATTTGATTACTCAATTTCTGTACTTGAACACCTAAAAACCTAAAGCATTGTTTAATCTTGTATTTTTATTCCGTTTATTTATTGGGCTATTGCTTGTAATTTGTACGTATTTACTGACTTCACCTGTCTTTAATAATGTTTGAACTTTATACTTGTTAGTACTGTGATAACGAAATTGGATTTGAGAACTGTAAAATTTAACTGGTATCTAAAATGTTGGTGTCATATAAGCTTATTTATTAGAATACTAGAGAACAGGGTCAAAAGCAATGATAGCAACAACTATTTAATTTTTTGTGGCAGGGCCAGTGAAAATGTTGGCAGGGCAAGTAAGAAAATTGAACCACTGGCCTGATCGTCCAGTAGAAAAAACCCTCAGTGTTGAGTCCTGCTCCATGAACTGAACTGAGTGATAAACAGATAAACTGTGCAGAGCAGTGTGTCCTCGGGACCTGCATTGAGAACCACTGCTCTATCTGAACTAGTTTGACAGCTGCACTCGGTTAACAGAGCGGTTTCTGGTTATGAGTCATTTGAAAGATCATCTGGGGACTGAATTTAGAGAGAAATATTTTAAACCAAATTAACATAACTCTTCTGCGATTCTCTATACTGCAGACTAGCTTCACTCAGCTCATCTGTATTCAATGAGTATTTTCAATAATGAATATCCTGAGTTACAGTGTCCTTTATGCTAGTATCTGACGACCACACAACAGTTTCCATTCATGCAGTGTGTGTGTGTGTGAGAGAGAGAGAGAGAGAGAGAGAGAGAAACTATAGTGGGCGGCTCAATGTGTGAAAGTGAGTGAAAGAACAGTTGCTAGAGAGAAACGGTAAGAGAGAGTGTGTGTGTGTGTGTGTGTGTGTGTGTGTGTGTGTGTGTGTGTGTGTGTGTGTGTACCTGATGCTAGTCTGCGTGCGTGCGTGTGAGTGAGTGAGTGAGTGAGTGAGTGAGTGTGTTTACCTGACGCTAGTCCTGTTAGCGTGACCACCAGCCACCCGGACCAGGCGTCGTACAGACTCTTGGTGAACTCCCATGCCGATTCCTTCTTTTTACTGTTTATCTACACAGACGGAGAAAACATGATTAAGTAGAGATGCACAAACCTGCTGATTCAGGATCTGCAGTTTCTGGTCAGTTTGCAAACCACAGTATCACTTCCAGTCAAGCAGGAAGTTCATTTGCCTAAAAAAAAAAAAAAGTCTATTCAAATGTTTTACGCTTGAATATACGTGACCCTGCATCACAAAAGCAGTGTTAAGTCGCTGGGGGATATTTGTAGCAATAGCACACTGAAAAAATAAATAAAAATAACACATTAAATATAGATTGAGGAAGTTTCCAAAAGCAAATAAATAAATACAAAAAAATGGCGTTCAAGTTTTCAAAAATGAATAATTAGAGATTATTTTCAATTTGCCAAAGCAAACATCAAGTAAAAAAGAAAACAAATGGTTTAATTGAATAAATAATGAAACAGAAATGATAACATAATATTAAAGGGGTCATATGATGCTGCTAAAAAGAACATTATTTTGTGTATTTGGTGTAATGAAATGTGTTTATGCGGTTTAAAGTTCAAAAAACACATTATTTTCATACATTATTCAGTACATTATTGTTTCTCCTCTATGCCCCGCCGAAAAAGCGAGGTGTGCTCTGATTGGCCAGCTATCCAGTGCGTTGTGATTGGCCGAATACCTCAAGCGTGAGATGGAAATGTAATTCCCTCAGTGACCAGCTCTAGGCATGACAAAGCGGATATCGTCCTCTTTTGGAAGACCAAACAAAGTAGTTTCGCTTTCACAACGAAACACAGCGTCTTCAGGACATGGCTGCAGCAGCAACAACAATACTACAGCGAGAATAAAAGTTACACCTTCTTTCTTTGCGTGAACATTTGGGCGGCGTTATGCAAATCTTCCCACATAGTGATGTAGATATGTGGGGGCGTGTTAGAACGAGCCGTTTTAGGTAGGCGTGGCTGACTCTTAACTTTTATAAAGAATATCTCTTTGGATTTGAGACTTTAGTCTTTGTAACTTTACAGATCTTCTTTATGCACCAAGAGCTTGTAACACTCCAAAGAGAAAGGAACAATTTAAATCGCATCATATGACCCCTTTAAACAATAAAGCATATATACAAAACAGATAAATTAAGTAAAAATAAATAAATAAATTAAGATTGACTTCAAGTTTCTATGCATGCATAAATAAATAAACAAACAACCAAACCAACAGCGATGTAGTTCAAGTTTTCCAAAATTAAAATTAATGAATAAACTAAATGAGACCGTGTTCAATAATAAATGAATGAATGAATGAAAGAAATTGGGTTCCTTTGTGAGGTTTTTAATTAATTACATTATTAAAAAATAATTACCTTTATTGTGATAGGGTTCCTTTGTGAAGTTTTTAATTCATTAGAATATAAAAAAAATTACCTATATTGTGATACAGTAGTCAACATTTGAAGTGGATCAAAAAAATGTATCAAAGCTGTCCTAACACAAGAACACATTGGTTTTAGGTTTTAGGACAACTTTGATGGATTTTTTTGATTTTCAAATGTTGACTACTGTACATAGTATTAGTGTGACATAAAACTACTGAATGTTTCTGTCATAGCCATAGAAAGGCAATGATAACAGCTGGTGCGTTACCTTGCGGTGTCGCTCTCTGTCTTTGCACTTCTCTCTGACCCAGTCGATGGTGTGGAAGTCGTCGTAGGTTCCCACGCCTGGAATGGGCTCCTCCAGCAGGTCCAGGAGGTGGGTGGAGCTACTGGCCCCAGCTCCGCCCCCTCCATTAGACATGGCGTAGTTCGACCCTAAACACACACACACACACACACACACAAGTGAGTGAAAGAACTGCTTTCAGAAGAGCCGTAGTTGGTGTGAATCTTTGGGTCGATTCAATTCACAGGTTTTCGGAACGATTCTATTAAATCTGATTCACAACAAGATTCGATTTGATGTCTATTAATGATCTGATTCTCATTTTCTAAATGCATTCAAAGGATTATTGAAATGCTTCTCCTAATGTTTAATGTAGCATTACGTCACTTGCTCAGCAATGGATGCTCTGCAGTGAATGGGTGCCGTCAGAATGAGAGTCCATACAGCTGATAAAAACATCACAATAATCTACACCACTCCAGTCCATCAATTAATGTCTTGAGAAGTGAAAAGCTATATTTATAAGAATCAAATCCATCATCAAGACATTTTTGATCTTCAAACTGTTGCGTCTGCCTAAAATACGAGTCCATAATCCATGATAACGCTTCCTCCTGTGAAGAGATGGTCTTGTCTGAATCAGGAGAGAAACCTGCACAGATCAGGCACCGTTTTCAAGCCAAAACAGGGGATGGACTTTTTCACTGGAGGAAGCGTTATTATGGATTATGGACTCGTATTTTAGCTCTAAAAGCAGTTCGAAGTTTTAAAAAAAATGTCTCAATTGATTTGTTTCTTATAAACATGCAGCTTTTCACTTCACAAGGCATTAACTGATGGACTGGAGTGGTGTGGATTACTTGTGGATTATTGTGATGTTTTTATCAGCTGTTTGGACTCTCATTCTGACGGCACCCATTCACTGCAGAGCATCCATTGCTGAGCAAGTGATGCAATGCTACATTTCTCCAAATCTGTTCTGAGTAAGAAACAAACTCATCCACATTGTGTTTGGCCCGAGGGTGAGTGAATTATCTTGACCGAAGCAAATGACTCATGATTCAAAAATAAATTTTTCAAGATTTATGCATTTGCATCAGCAGGATTCGTAATCATTGCATCAAGAAAAGAAGTGAATCGTTACACCCCTACTATTTAGCGTTTCTTAGACGTGGTTAGTGAATTGAGCAAACCTCAATTTAACACTCAAGTAGGGATATGCCGGTATCAATTTTCATGTTGCGATTAATTGCTCATGCTTTTATCACGGTATACGGTATTGAAATTTCATTTTTAAAAAAGTGCTGTCGTAATACAGTATAACAGGTTTAATAACTTTTTTCTTATAACAAAAATAACTGAACATTTAAATGCAATAAAGCAATACAGAAATATGTAAAAAAAGGTCAAATAGCCTATTAAGTCTCAATATTTAAGTATTTGGCGCTGTGATGAACATCATGGCAAATACACAAATCTGAATTTGAGTATACATCATTTAAACACGATTCAGAAACAGAAAGTAGCGCAGCTGCTTTGTTTACAGGGTTTCTGGAGTAACGGCTGCATTTAAATTAATTATTATTATTATTATTATTATTATTATTTCTGCAGTTTAGCGCCATCTGCTGTCAGAGAGTGAAAGTGGGCTTTCATCCAGAGCGTCTCGCATGTTCGCCGTGCGCTTCTCGTCTGCACTTGTTTACATCAGAGTGCACACGCGTCTTTCACGCAGCATACAGCGTGTTGTGCATTTTGACCAGTTGATAGGAAAAGTATTCTTAAAATGCATTCAAAATTCTGAATAATTTGTAATATATAATTATTCACGGTATTTTGAAGTGCCCACGATAACAATATCGTGCATATTCATTACCGTGATATATCGCAGTACCAAATACCGGCACAAGTCTAGACTAAAGTGAGTCACTGAACTCTCTGAGGCAGCAGAACTGCATGTCCAACACTCATTACTACAGCTTGTTTGTTGGCTGCACTTAATGAAAGCAGAGATCTGGGTCGTCTGGACGCGTGTTTCATCAGCTGATAATCAGCAGCTAATCAGCTTTTCCACACAGATCCAGCCAGACGCGAGCCAGCGACACAACCTCACACTCTAGAGAAACACACGCTTGTATACACTTCCCTTTTCTAGAAACAAACCAACTCGGCACCTCGCTGTGAGGAAAACACAGCTGACACCTAACCAGGCTACACGCATAAATAACCTACTGTAAACCCAGAAACAGCACAAGAAATCTCACTCTTGCAAATACACATGCACGCATTTGCACGTCATGTGACGAGGAGAAAAACAAGCCATATTTGACCAACATCTAGAACCAGCATGCAATGAAAATGTTCGTTACTAATAATTACAAACTAAACTAAAAGCCCAAAACGGCAACAACGCATGACATCTGCATCAATTAATAGAAAACGGAATTGAAATGTTATTTCATAAATAAGAATTTTAATTTTTTTTATATATATATATAAACAATAATTATTAATAGTAATTATTGAATGTAATAATCAGCTAAAGGCTAATCTTATTTTATATTTTAATACTTTAAAGTTAATTATATTCATATTTTATTGATATTCTTGTTTTGTGTTAATAAATTCTTATTTTATAGTTAAGATCACTTAATTTGCGTATTTATTAATTATTTATTAATAAACTCCATTAATAATAATACTAATACACATTACTTATTCATATTTTGTGTTCGTTTATTTTGATATTACTATTAATATATTACTATACACTTTGTTATTGTTATTCATTATATTGCATTTACTTAATTAGCATTCATATTTATTATTTATTATTAATATATTATATTTAAAAGAATAAATAATATTGATAAAATTTATAACTGTATAATTTTTTATTTAATAATGTATTAATATAAAGAATACTCATGGCTTTGTGTTAATATCAGTAGCTTAATTATTCATTATTATTATTTAATTAAATTAATATGATTATTATTGATTAATATTCTTACATTTTGTTTGAATATTAATAGTTCATATAGTTAATTATTCGATTTATTATTAATTAGTTATTTTATTGAATTAGTATTCACATTAATTAATAGTTAATATTTATTATTAAATACTTTATTAATATGAATAACATATTGAGTATTTATTAATATTCTTATGGTTTTGTGTCATTAATATTATTTTAAAAACATCATCTGTTAGAACTCATTGGCAAAGGACCCAGTCAAATAACACATTGAAGATCATTAGTAGAGCCCGACCGATATATCGTTTAGCCGATATTAGCGGCCGATATGAGCCTGTCGATGATATATCGGTATCGGCGAATATGCCGCCGATATTAACTTTTTTAGAGAGAGAGAGAGAGAGAGACCCATAGAATATACAAATGCGGCGCCCCATTTTTACGACAAGAAAAAGGTGGATAAAGTTTGTTAAATTGTTAAATACCCTGCCCCCACTACATAGGCCTATGTTTGTCACATGTTGATCACCACATTCAAGTTATTATTGGAAAAATGTGCTTATGTACAGTGGTGTGAAAAAGTGTTGGCCCCCTTCCTGATTTCTTATTTTTTTGCATGTTTGTCACACTTTAATGTTTCAGATCATCAAACAAATTTAAATATTAGTCAAAGATAACACA